AGATCCTGGTACGCGGCATACTTTCTCATTGAGCATACAATTTCTTGCTTCTTCAAGTAAGATTCTCGATGTTCAGGAAGAGGATACGCACTTATCTGGAGGTATTCATACTAAACTGGGATGCTAAATCACATTTTTATATGAAGTAAACACTAAGAACTTACATTTTCAAAACCCAGTCCCAAAAAGTTACTCAGTGATATGAAAATCGCTCGACGACTTACCCTGACCACCTTTAGCACCCCTTTTCACTGTACTCCGAACTCGGCCACCCAGTGAGCCATGTGGTTTTAGAAGCCGAAGTGGCGAACTGTTTACTGCTTGCTTGCTTTGATGTACGTCAACAATCGGTTGTCCCAAAATTATGGGCACCAATTCATAGCAATGTATTTAAAGCTTCCCAGCTGAGAATGACAATGGAATCTACAAGCACGTTAGCTAACACTATGCGCTGCAACATGCTACAACCTAATTTCAAAAACCCCCCATAAGCGTGAATGAAGGTCCAAAATTAACTCTCGAGCTCCTCGCATGGTGCACGCAGGTCTACTCCTTGATTTCTTCTCAGCCGTGCTTGAGTCCTGCTCTCTAGGACTCCAAACTAGGACCGCAAACCCAGCAGGTCCTCTTCTAATCAGAGATCATGCGGAAGAGTCAAGTGAATTGTCATCTGAAGTAGGAGGGCCAATCCTCTTTGCTAATGAAGTCGGGTAGCTAGCGTCGGCACCACTCCTGAGCGACCTTGGCTGTATGGGCTGGAGTAAGGTCCCGCTGGAAGGACTACAAAATGTTTCGAGGACTGGAATCGGACCAGTGCTCCACTAGGACCGTCAATATGCTCTTTGTGTAAAAGTCTTTTTCATTCTTCATGCCGGCACTGACAAAATCCCGGCGTCTTCTCTGGCAGTGACTCCCGCAAAAGAATCATTCTGTTGTTCTACAGTCACTTTTCACGAAAGATTGTGAGACCAATGCTTACAGCTTAAACATAATCGTTTTTTTTGTTGAGGATCTATTTCTCGTAAAATTTTCTTCAACTAAAGAAAACGATAAAGTGTTGCGTGTCTACTTAAGAGAGTTAGCAACTTTCTGCATTTTTTGACTCTACACTGCTTGTTGCCTCGTTTGCTGTCTTTTTGATGGGTAACCTAGGTCACAATTGACCCGCAAATGGATCATTTTAATAGTCCTATCTCCAAAACGCTAGCCTTTCTACCCCTTCCTGGTCTGTCTAGGATTGCATCTTCTTCGATGTATCGTTAAAGAACCCACCATACGAATACCACAGGAAACGCAAGGATTTCCATGAAGCCCTTCCGCCTCTCGCAGACAGATATTGGAAGTGGCACTGAGTGAGCTTCGGCCATCTGAAAGATATTCGGAGTTTCATTTTGGTATAGTAGTATGCGATGTGGAGTCGAGGCGGAGAAGATTTATTGCTGGAGAAGTCGAACTGGATACAATGATAACTAGTGAAAAGGCCGGGTTTAAATACCAGTTGGCCTGGTCAAATACCCTGGTCAAATTGCAGTAATACCAGATCAAAACCTACAATTTGGCGCCTAAAAGGTGGTCTTCAATTGACTATTGTAGACCACATGTAATATTTATAAGCTTACAACAGTATGCATGTCGCAAGAAAATTTTCTAGTGCTATGCATATCGCAAGAAAATTTTCTAGTGCAACTAATTAATTCCGGGTGGAGTGAATTTGATAAATTACTTCTATCGTCGAAGTTCCTGAATAGTGGAGTCCATAATTCTGAGACACTTTTTAATTAAACGAGCAACTTCAAAATACAACTTTTTCCAATAAACCGAACCGCTTCGCAGAATAGAGTGTCTCTTTCCAATTCCTCTTTCCTCCTATTGAGCCATTCTTTCAAGTTTTATTTTATGAAGAGATGATCGTTTCTGTGAGGCGATGATGATAACAGGATTACCTCTCTACCTCAGCTCCTCCTACAGTGATTGCCAACGGGAGGAAGACTTCGGCAACAGCCTACCTACCAATGGTGCCGCAGTCACAAACAGCTTTACAACCTACACATTTCAATGTAGCTTGGCATTGAAAGGTCATCTAGATTTTGAAGAGAACAGTAGGTTCACGAACAATATTAAACGCGCACATAGGACAGGCCAAGAGCAGAAAGCGTTCTAATGGTCACCATGGCAGGTACATAAAATTACGTGAAGAGCGACCTGTTAGACCTCGACAGCCTAAAAGGGATGCTTACTAACTTGAAACACTGAAATCTAAAACCCCCTGCAGTGGAATCAAAGCACAATTCACAACAGGGGTTCCGTAGAAGTTTTGCGGCTGGCATGGTCCAAGATACTTCCTCATCAGCTGTGTGGCGCTCAGGTACAGTGATGCGTCATATCATATCGCATCCACCTTAGTTTGTTTCATATCAAATCTATTACGGCTGCTATTCGAGTTTTGTTAGATTCTTTAAAACAAACGCTAGTACAATAATACATGAAACTCCTGAATGGAACTTTGCTTCCATTTTCTGTCTTACGTTCTCTTCGGGTTGAAGGCTGGATGGCAGCGCGCAACGCATGTCATCGGCGCAGAGAGTAGGCGGATAGGTGCGCGCGCGGCAACTCGACTGTCGCACTGGCACCGGAAATCGTGTCAGAACCTTTTCCTAGTGGGTCTGATTTTCAGCAATGGAGAGGGTACTTCCTACTTAGCCCTCTTTAGTGTTCTGGAGAGCGCTTCGATCAAGTGGTGGGTGCGAGAAGGCCATATGCACCGCTCCGGACTTGAAGAAGAAGGAGAAGAAGAAGAAAAAGAAAAAGAAGAAAAATCAATCAACTAAAACCTCAACCAAGTAAGCACGAGGATGCAATGCCTATTTTGGCAGGATTGATCAATATAATCAAGAGAGAAGAAGGGTACTCCATCATAATCGGATGGTGGCTTTTGTTGGGTAGTTATAGAAATTTGGGGAGCGAATGAAGATTGGTTTTTTGTGACTGGCATCTAAATATGGGATATATCGTCAACAAAGGCCCAATCAGGCAGCTCGTTCAGAGTGTGATGAGGCCATCCGTTGTATTCATTGGGAGCTGTTCTCACGGTTTCGATCAAGAGTCTATTAAGGATTCTTTCTACATGAGCCAGACCTCAGCAGGCTTCTTCTCATGTTTGCGCCATCGTTGTCCTTTACAGAGTAGAGGGCTGTAAAAGTACTCTGACGCCTTGAGTCGTTGAGTCGCCTTGAGTTTACTCTCGAACATCGAGCTTCTCGTACAAGGCGTTCATTTACCTATTCTTTGCTTCCGCTATGCAGCCTTGGCAAGCCTCTTGCAACACCTGTAGGCAGGTGTCCGGTAGCTTGAATCGTTTGTCAGCGCTTGTCGTGGCTTTCTTCTGCCTCACAATTCGTAAGACTTCATCGTATTAGAATTACCCTTCAATATCTCCTGAGAATCAACATTGAACCTCTCCCCGCGTTCCCCTTGCACACCTACTGACCACTACAGCGATGCCGTAGATCTGCTGGGTCTTGGAGACCAGCTCCTGATAACTTTCGCCTAACATCTACTTTTTCAGCTCGGTGCTTTCATCACCGGATTCTTCTTGTCCTTCACTCTCTGAAAAGATCGATGGCTATGTATGTTAAGAGAGATGTATGCTTAGGAGCCATATCTTTGCCAGGTAGTACTTTAACATCCCTTACAATTTTGGTCGACGATCTCTCCACGTTAACATCATTTGTTTAAGGCTTTCACTATTTCATCTGAAATACAAACAACAAAATTATCGTGAACTGTGCCTTCAAATTTACTCCCCACATTTCGAACCTAATGTTTTCTCATCATAGAATCGCTATCAATTTAGGTGAGTCTAGTCTGGCAAAGAGGTCAGCCAATCAAGCGAAGTCACCCCACGACAAGTGAGAGTAGGAGCAAAGGAATATATATATATGCACGCCAGCAACATCTTTCTCAAATTTCGTAGTTGTGTCTCGCAGTCAGTGATAGGGTGCCTGTGAGATATAGCCGAATGATGTTCTTCGTTAGTGGCTGAATATGATCTCCCGCTGCTTGAATGAGCTCAAATCGTAGCAAGTTAACGAAAGAAATGTTAGATTACGGGGACAGTACGGGATGTCAAGGGAAAGCAGATTTTCGTGTAAATCAGTCGGATCGCCAGGCTCTCCTCCTCTTCGTGCGGAGTTGGCCTGCCGCGACGCTCGAGCACAGAAGAAAAGGGACTATGATTTCTCGGACAAATACACACACACTCACTTCGTGAGCGCCTTGCCTGTCATGGACGGAATCCTACTCAACATAAGTGTGTTGAGATAACTTGCTTCATTCCACTCTTCGTTCATATTCAGTGGCATCGGCACTCCCGTAGGCCGCCCGTACTCCTATGAAGCTTGAAAGCTCCTGGTCTGTTAACATCCTGTAGTTGTCTAGAAAGGAGAGCAGGGAGCAGCGGATCAAGCTTTGGAGTAGTGAGTCATCCCAAATCACCAGCTTCAGTGGAACTTCCAAGGATACCCCTGCCAGTGTTCAGTGGAAGAAGCTGGGAATGGGAAAGCTTTTGGGAATTATTCAACACAACCATTCGTACATTGTGCATTCCCTTTAACTGTCGGATCTTCAGAAGTTTGATTATCTTCTGAGAGCATTGAAAGAGGAAGCGTAGCAATCGATTGCTATATTCCAAGTAACAGCAGCCAACTACACTTAGCAGTAACCCATCCAAAAGAACGATATGAAGACGGCCAAAATGTAATTATGAGCTTAAATCGTCAATTAGAACATGGAGCTCCGAGAGCACACGGTTGAAAGATCAGCGCAAACTTCACCACCAACTATCTGTTATCACAGCTCAGTTTGTGAGCAAAGGGGAATTCCTTGACAGTCCGTGGCTTCTATCGAAAATTCTTTCAAAATTCACAGAGACTGCTCAAAGGAATGCCTCCAAAGAGAAGGCTTCACTAGTCTAAAGAGAGAGTTGGACACTGAGCAAACCCATGACCACTCTCGATCGAATCATAAAACATGAGAAAGAGACTGGAAGGCAGTTGCCAAAAAAGTTTGGGAATATGGAGCTGCCAAAACAGGAGGCAGGGAACCAGCAACCCCGAGAGAAAATTCTAAGTACATTATGTTTCTAATGCGATAGTAGGGAGCATTGGTCAACAGACTGCACCAGAATAGCTTCCCAAAAACACGTTTAGAGCGTTTGAAAAAGACCAACCGTTGCATTGGTTGTGGTTCAAAAATGCATAAATTTGTCGAATGCAAAGACAAAGGATACATGCAGTGTGGGAAAGAAACATCGCACTTCGACATGTTCCGAAGCTAACGCTCCTACCCCCTTCGCACCGGTGTCGAATACAGACCGGAAAAAGAGGTGAAACCAAAGCCAGCACAAGTTCGGCAAAATTTTGCGCTTTGTGAAGAAAGTGACACACATGTTGAAAACCACCAAACTTCTGACCTCATAGTTATTAGGATTGAAACACATCAAGAAAAGGAAATCATAGCGACTATTTCTTCACCTGGAACTCTACGCACCTTACATCCAAGGACGCAAAAACTCGGTACACTTCAGGTTCTGCTGTATAAGGGTGCGAATCGTAGTTTTATTGATGCCAAGATAGCCGACGAGCTCCTATTGGCAAATCATTACGTAGTCACCATGAAACGCAGGACTTTCGGTGCAGAAACCGCAAAGGAGATTCAGTGCATCGATACGTGCTTAAAGATATGGAATTCTGAGGGAGAACAGCATAAACTGTGGCTCTCTGCGTATAATAACCTAACAAGAAACTTTACTAAAGGGAAACTTCGAAAAAAAGATCTGTTCTTCATACAGAAGAAGCATATGAAGTTGAGATTCCAGATAATGGAGTTTTCTATCCCCCCAGATCCTGATTGGATATGACCAGCTTGAAACTTTATAAAGTCCGGAGCACCACATTTCACGATGCCGTCAGGGCTAATACTTGTACCACACGGCTAGGGCACATGGTCTCTGGCGAACGCCTCAACAGAGCGAACCCCGAGCAACATTTACATTCACCTGTGCATACAGTAGAATTAAAGAATGAGAGTTCGGGAAACTCATTGGAATGTGCATACTCAAGCGTTAGAGCGGGAGTACAGTGGCCCAGAAAAGGAAGGAAAGGCTCGTATCAATTAGCAGGTATTGGAAATTTTCAAAAGCACTATCGAAAAACGTGATATCGGCTATGTTGTTCGGCCTCCATTTGAAGAGCGACATGGTCATCGACCAGATAACAGAGCTCTGGTATTACGTCGTTTAAGAGCATATTGAAGATAAGCAGCATACATATGAAGAAGAACCTAACATTCTCAAACAGTACCACGAAGTGTTCCAAGATCAGTTGAACAAAGGAATCTTGGAGGAAGTAGATGAAAGGGAGTATACGACTGGGAGACCGAAACACTATCTTCCTCATTAGCTCGTCAGCACTCCACAGAAGGATACTACCAAATTCAGAGTTGTTTTTGATGTGTCAGCGCACTGGGAGAACCGTCTGTCACTCAATGACGTGGTGCATCAAGGGCCTACCATACTCTCTAAGCTCTATGACATGCTGCTACGCTTTCGAACTGGGAAGTCTTCCTATTATCAGACGTCGAAAAGGCCTTTCTTCAAGTAGATCTCCATGAAGAAGACAGAGACTTCACCAGACGCATATAGATCAAGAATGCAATGAAGCTATTGACGGAAGACAATTTAGCCGTCTATAGATTCAGGAGGGTAACCTTTGTTATTGATGCCTCATCATTCTTCTTGAGTGCAACGATCCATTTCCACCTGAACAACTACGTGGAAAACAAAGAACTTGCAGCAGAAATGGCATCCAACCTCTATGTGGATAATCTAATCATTAGTGCGGATACAGCAACGGAAGGCATACACAAATACACATGTTTAAGTCGATTTACAATGGCCTCAAAATGAACCTACGAGCATTTCGAAGCAACAACTTCGAAATCCTGACAGCTATATCAGCTCCTGATCGTTCTTCGAATACTTCACCTAAAGTACTTGGGAAACCATGGGACTCAATCGCAAATAAAATTTCATCGTGCGTAAATGTACAACGTGAAGAAGTGGTTGGCAAACGCACGATTGCCCAACAAATTGCATCCGTGTACAATCTGTTTGGTTGGCTCATCCCACTTTTGGTCGAAGCGAAGCATTTTCAACAATTCCTACGGAAATATCACTATGACTGGGACCAATCATTAAGTGAAAAGCATAAAGAGCAGTGGGATTGCATTGTGCAAGATATATCCGAGTTCCGTAAAGAGTTGCCAAGGAGGGTCACACAGGAGGGCTTAAGATCGTATACATTGGTCACATTCTGATGCCAGCGCGACTGCAATGACAGCACGCACCTATCTAACTACGGAGAAAACTTCTCGTTTTCTCATGGCAAAATCAAAGGTGTCAGACATGAAACATTCAACTACAATTCCTAAAATGGAATTAAACGCCATAGCAATCGGCGCACGCTTATCATTAAATGTTTTTCTGAGCATCTTGAGCATCAAATCTTCGCTGAATATTTCTAAGATCGTGTTCCTAACGGATTCGGAGATAGCGTTGAATTGGCTCCGGAGCAACCCGAACCGAGAGGAAACAGGACTATACGTCAAGAATCGAACAAAAGAAGTTCGACAGATCATACAGGCTCTTACTCGGCGCAGGAGTGGAAGTAACGTTTGGCTACATTGTCACAAAGTGAAATCCAGCGGATCTTGGAACACGAGGAACGTTTGCTGAGGAGTTCCCATCACATAGTTGGTTGAGCGGATATCCACAAAGCACCCTAAGAGATAGATTCACATCCTAATCCTGTCTCCCAGATGATCCAGATTAAGAAAAAGATGAAGGAGAAGAACTCACATCTTCTGAACAAATAAACGCCACAAAAATAGATGAGATGCAAGTTGAGGATATTCTTGATTTATCCAGATACAACAGTATATCGAAAATTCAGAGAATCCAAGCCTATGTTATACGGTTTCTGAGGGGCATCAGTTCTAGAATACGAGAACCAATCTGACACAAACTACACCACATACTACCTGAAAGTGTTGAGCCCACTGAAAGACAGTGCTTAGCAGCTTCAGAAGTCAAAGATGCTCAATTCGCGCTAGTAAGAAACCATGAAGCAGTACACTTACGTTCGAGCTATAGAAGGGAACTACTCAAGGCTCTCAACATGAAGAAAGACCAAGAGTACTCGCAGAGAGCACACGGTCGATTCAATAAGACGGATTCAACAAGCATGGCAAGAAATCCCATCCTAATCGTGCCCAACACAGAGTGTGCGCGCCTTATTGTGCTTGAAGCTCACGGAAGATATCATAATAACACCAGACAGACTATGGTAGAAATACGACAACAGTACTGGATTTTGACACTTCGAGAACAAGTGAAAAGGTGCATACGCTCATGTGTTCCTTGTCAGAAGCTGAACAATCTACCGTAAAAATATCCGGAAATGACAGATCTACTTGAAAAACGAGTAACAAGGTTGCGGCCGTTCGAAAATATAGGATTAGATCACTTCGGACTGCTCACAGTTTCCACGGAAACAAGACGCACTGAAGTGTGGGTGCATATTCACATGCTGAGTTACACGCCTTATACATCTAGATGTTGTAACAGATGGAACGACAGGAAAGTTTCTCAATGCATTTCGTCGATTCGTAGCTCGTCGAGGTAGACCTCACTCAGTAGCTTGTGACAATGCACCAACATTTATTCTGGAGAGTCAAGTTTTGAACGAACTTGGAGCAGGTATCGAGGACGACGAACTATCCCGCAACATGAGCAATCAGATGATCGAGTGGAAGCAAATAACACCGCACTCACCGTGAACTGACGATTTTTATGAACGCCTCATTAAATCAGTGAAAGAAGCCCTGATGAAGGCGACAGGAAAGCGCATACTAACATTAGAGCAACTATTAGGTGTGTGCATTGATTTCTGCCGCCGGAGTCGACGGGTCGTTGCGCGAACCATGTTAGAGGTTTACCTATGAAACCTGTCCCATTCTGTAAAATAGAGTATTGGCTTTTTTAAAATAGAAGCAGACAGATCAGTTTTTCTCCAAAATCCCGTTGCTCTCAAACTGATTGGACACAAACGTGATGAATCGTTTTTTTCTTCTCCTGCTGTTTGACTTCAAGAAAACTGCCTGTGAAACCCACCGGATGCTTTTCGACACTTTTGGAGAACAAGTGAAATTATTTAAACGAACGTGCGGAGAATGGTTTCAACGTTTAGAAGTGGAGATTTCCACCTGAAGGACAAGGAACGTCCAGGTCAGCCAAAAAAGCTTGAAGATTCGCAGTTGCAAGCATTCTTGGATGAAGATCCACCAACCCAAACAGAGCTGGCTGAGCAGCTGAGAGGGCAACTATTTCTTGTTTTTTGTCGGATACGACCGTTACTCGCAAGAAAACATCATAGGTGCTGTTCCACCACGACAATGGCAGGCCCCATGTTGCAAAGGATGTCCTTGAAAAAGTTGCAGATTTTGGATGAAATCAGCTTGTTCAGCCCGCATACTCCCTGGATGTTGCTCCTTTTGATTACCACTCATTCCGGTTCATGCAAGCAAGATCGACATATGCAAACCTGTAAACCATATACACGCTTCTGGAAGAAGAAGTGGAGAAATGGGTGGATGACTGGATTGTCACAAAGGTGAAGACTTTTTAGACGGGGAATCAATAAGCTACCAGAAAGATATCAGAAAGCTGTAGCTAACGATGGACAAGACATTGGTTAAGGTACATCTCGTTTAAATTGCGTAAAACGGCAGAAACTAATGCACACACCTAATATGTACCTCTTTGGTCGAGATTAAAGGATGACCTCTAACATACCAGGGAACAGACTTTAATGACATCATTACACCTTACGACCTATCGATTTCATACAGAACAGGATGAATGTCACACTCCCATATGATGACCCGGAACATGACTGCACAGATCCGCCGTACCTACCTACTACTGAAAAAAATACGCCTAGAAACAAGTCAATCAATCCGGGGAAAACATCGAAGAAATACCAATGAAAAACGAGGAAGCATTAACGTTGTTCGTAAAGGAACTTTAGTCCTTCTCAGTGACCCACACAAAAAAGAAGCACATGGAAGCTAGCACGCATCTCCAAATTAATTCCAAGCAGTGATGGAGCAGAAAGAGAGGTGGAGGTTCGCTGCAACTACAGGACACTTCGACGTCCAATCAACCAACTTATACCTTTGGAAATACCAGATAATGGGAGAACTCACAGCAAAATGTGATGTCGTGAGACGGAATATGTCAAGCGAAACCATTGTCATCAAATAAGCATTATCCATATCGAAAATGAAAGAACAACCAAACGGGAAGTAATCATCAAATCCGGGCTAACACTCATCACTTGGTTTCTCGTCCGAGTAGAACATGGTCAACACTATCTGACTTGAAAATGACATCTGAATTGACGTCGACTGTATTACCAGTGGAATATAGACCTCAATCAAAAAGCAACAAAGCATCAAACCAATTTCGTACTACGCATCAATGCATGAAAACCGGAAGGTATATAAGTGCATGATTTCTAAAACTGGTGCTGATTCCCGGAGGAGTAAGAGAAGCTCATCCAGGAAATTATTACCTCACAGCACATTTACCATGACTTTCAACCACATATTATTTGAGAAAATGTTCAAAAACATGTTAACACAAAGTGGGCATCATCCAGTTAGCGCATTTCTATTGAACCATTTCCATTTTAGAGCAATGTCTTCAAGGAGCGATCGCTAATTCTCGAAAAAACGTCATGCTAAAGAACGCAAACGTCTGTCGAAATTCGTTGTAAGCGAGCATGGCAGAGACAGTTTCGAAGTTCTCAGAAGAGGGAGATATTCAACACAGAATACGTGGCTTTATGAGATTTGTTATTAATACTGTCACGAATAATCGCCTTAATGACGAACTTACCAAAGTTCGAGGAAGAAGACCACTTTTTTTCGCCAACTGGGGAGCAGTGCTCTACAGAAGTCATCTGGAAAGAATATGACTCGGAGTGGACCATGATGCTGAAAGAATTCGAAGCACAGCCGAAAAGTTGTGCATGGCTTACAAAGTATACAATCTTCTTATTTTGTCTGACGGAGCAATACTGTTTTCTCGATAGAACTTTTGGGGAGAAGTTGAGCAGGGTGTTCTGTTGGGATCAAGCCATACCGCCGATTTTATCCGAAAATAGCTGGAATTCCTAGAACAATTCAGACGTCAAGTACAGAACGAAGTCGAAGAGGCAAAGCGTCTAGAAGGAAACGGAAATCACACTTCTACCTTCAGTCAATTAAAAGAAATGATAAAGGACTTGAAGAGAGATATCCGTGTCAAGCACATGGAACTACAAACGGAAATGGACAATCAAAGAGAGAGCATGTAAAGGCTATGTGAAAAAATTGAAAAAGTCAAAAATAAAAACCATTGCATCAAGAACCAACTCCGATCAAGAGGGGCAAGAGCATGTAGAGCATCTAGAGCATACGATGCATTCACAGCACGCACATCAGAAATCGAAACCAAAGGAGGTAAACACTGAGGGACTTGAAGAAGACCTTCTCGATTTGGACTACGATTATGAAGAGCCCAAGAGTCACGACTCCATCAATACTAGTTCCTATGTATCCGACGATGACAACGCAGATCAACAAAAGTACCCCGGACATCGCAAGAAATCCCAGCGTCTCATGGAAATCAGAGAGTTCTTGACGGAAAACCGAAGGGTACCGGAACGAAGGATAAATGAAGACAATTCAATGAGACTTCAGGAACGATGTTCGGTCTGTTCCTTCTGCTTAGCGAAAGGAAGACATTATTCAGATAGCTGTCCTACATGTGCCAGCGTAAAATCCTGAATGAAACGAGCGCGATGCAAACTATGTTTGGATAGTTGGCACAATACCGAACTTTGTCAAAATGAAATAAGACAGTGCATTTACTGCAGATCGGAGAAGCATAATAAAGCACTCTGTACATTGCCGGAAGAGATTCAGGAAGGCTACAAAGAAGTTGAATAAATCGAACACGAAGTGGAGAATTTCGAGGATTATTACGAACCCCGAGTGCTACCTGACTAACCAATAACAAGGTCAGGGGGAGTGTCACAGACGTGACTAAAGAAGAGGGCCTATTTGCTGAAGAGCATTGTTCTTCTAGTAAGTCTTTTACCTACCGTAGTCAAGTCAGTGTGTTTTTCATGGTTTATTTAGGTAAATGCTTTCCACTCTGAAAATGTTCTGTCCGGCTACATGATGACACTAAGGTGATCTCTACGGATCTATTGATTGCGCGGGAAACCGCGCACGCATGGCCAACGCCAGTACGTGGCAGAGCATCGAGAACATTCGTCACGTTCTTCTTGATCCGTAATGGCATTTTCATTTTTCTTTCTATTTTATCTCACCACCCACCCACAACATTCCCATTCTGCGGCCTGTAAATTCTGAAGGATCCAGCTCCAAATTAACAATTTTCACGTACGCTTCCCCCTTCAAGGAGGGCTTATTCTTGCCATCTGTTTCCATCCTGCCACCTGTACTCCCACCGAATTGAGCTTGAACGCTCTAGGTTCAAGGTCTAGGAACACGAGTTGTGAGTTTCCAGTTAACACACACCAACACACACCGACGCGCACATAGGCCTATCATCACCCCTTACCTTTTCTTCTCGAAAAAATGAGTAGTGAGTAGCGGCCACATATTCTGCAGTACAAATCAAAACTGGTCGAATTCGGTTGCCGCTAGCGATGACTGCGTTTACAGCTATAATCCCTCCATATCCCTTCATCTTCCTCACAAGGAAGGTCTTTCAGGGCGTGGGACGCTTTTTGAAAATGGCTTTTTGCGCGGTCTAGGGGTATAGCGCTAAGTACAGGACTATGGTCTATTTCCGCCAAATGGCCTTCTGAATGCCAAAAAAGGAGTGAAAATGATTTTGTCAGAAACTGCTGTTTCAACCCACTAAGCGTCGTTTGTTTCATTCAGGGCGTTGACTGTACGCACTGTAGAAGACGCCAGTGGACTGCGCATTGAAAATGACGTGAACGGTAGCCAAAAAAGGAGCCACATGTTGAAACATGTTGGAAAGTGCGGGGAGGTTTCCATATGTGCTCTCCACGGTTGAGCTGCTGCCAGCGACAATATGGTGGGGTGGGTAGCGATGTGGACTTCGAGTTGGGACGACTAGGATGGGTTGATGGTTTGAGTTCTGCTGGCAGCGTCGGTGAGGCTGCTTTCATAGTCCGCCGGCGAGCCGGCGTGCCGGCCGAGGTAGTGCTAGAAGGGGGGAGGGGGGCAGACGGGATATTCGATGCGGTCGCGAGCCCTTTCGAAGGGCAAAGGCAATTTGTTTTAATCTTGTTTTTCTTTGTTTTCAGCTTTTCAGCTCTTCGAAGGAGCCTGGGCGCGACGAGACCGCGTCGAAAAGTCCCGTCCGCCTCCCTCCCACCTCCTAGCACTACCTCGGTTGGCGCGCCGGCTTGTCGGCCAGTCGGCGGACTATGAAAGCAGCCTGTGGTGGATAGCGATGTGGACTTCGAGTTGGGACCACTGGCTGGGTTGATGGTCCGGGTCCCCGAAGCTTTGCCGTTTTTGCATTATATGCTGCCACCTCCAGATTGGCTCCATATTGCACCAGGGCAAGTAAGTGCCTGACTGTTCATGGCTTGATCTGATTGTTGTTTTATTTCGACCGAATTCCTTCGAAACCGATGAAAGGCGCACCTAATTTCGATGATTTAACGTTTTTATCCTAGCGTTGATCTCGCGCCGGTGAAGGGTTTTTGTCCTCTGTTCTGGTTGGTCATCTCCATTTCCTTCTCTTCTCACGATCAGTATCTTCTGCAGTCACCTCGACTTCAGCAAGGTACTTCTTGATCGTGTCCTGCCAGTCGGGCACTTACTTTAGCCCTTGTGCAATATGGAGCCAATCTGGAGGTGGCAGCGTAAAATGCAAAAACAGCAAAGCCTCGAGAACTCAAACCATCAACCCATCCTAGTCGTCCCAACTCGAAGTCCACATCGCTACCCACCCCACCATATTGTCGCTGGCAGCAGCTCAACCATGGAAAGCACATATGAAACTTCCCCGCACTTTCCAACATGTTTCAACATGTGGCTCCCTTTTTTGACTACCGTTCACGTCATTTTCATTGCGTGGTCTACTGGCGCCTTCTACTTTGCGGACAGTCGACGCTATGAATGGAATAAACGACGTTCAGTGGGTTAAAACGGGAGTTTCTGACAGAAATCATTTTCACTCCTTTCTTGGCATTCAGAAGACCATTTAGCGGAAATGGACCGTAGCCCTGTACTCAGTGCTCATGCCCTTACACCATGCAAAAAACCATTTTCAAAAAACGTCCCATGCCCTGATGGACCTCCCTTGTCAGGGCTGAAACACTGAACTACCAAAAGAAACAAAGTGGCCACTTTTCGTTCGATTATACAACGGACAGGTGTAGCAAATCGGTATATCGGCCAACATTCTCACAGCATAAGTCTACACTTGAACTAGCATAAGTCTCATCACGCTTGAACCCCCCATGTGTGAAGTGAGCAAAGCTGTGAATTAACTGTGCATAATTTGGAAAACCTCTTAACAGGGCCGTCCGCTTCGGATTCCATACTCTCTCAATAGTCCGGTCTTGCCTTTTGTCCTTATCCTTTCTGAATTTGAACGCGCTAGCTTTGGCGAGCAATTTTTTGCCCGCGCCACCTCCAGTGAGTGGTGTCTATTCCGGTCACCTACCATCAGTTTCCTCATCCTACCGCCTGCATCCCTTCCCAATTTCAACGCTCTACTCCGAAGTAGAAATTTTGGTGCATGCCCTACACTGAGTGAGCAGACTCTGGTCCTGCCACATACTGCCACGGTTCCCCTTCTGCCGCCTTTACTTCTACCAAATTAGAACGCCCTAGGCCTATGGGAACAGTACTCATGTAATTCAGTCAAAACCACTCGTATCGCACGCCAGGCCCTCCGTGGGTGGAGCCTAAATCAGATCATAGCTCGATGAAGCTCGACTAATTCTGACTTTTTCGATCCTGCCTACTTTGATTCGATTCTATTCCAGGATGGCACTGTAAAATGGTGATAAAAAGATCAAGAGACAAATAGACCAACAGCCATACGAACATTTGCGGTTCACATATAATGATCGTTGGATACCGTTCAAGGATTTCTCCTATAAACTGACCTCTTTTTCCGCGTTTCAAAACAATTTGGATCAGAGCCTCGAATTATCAAATTTAACCCCAGCCTTCACGGCGAAAACAATGCCCGCTCTGGAGATTTGACCACACTTCTTCTGTAGCGTCAGAACTTCGTTTCCCACTCTCCAAAACAATTCTGAACAGAGTCGTTAATTTTCACTTGTGGTCTTAACCACTGCGTTGCAACCCGTTTTAGAGACTCGACTACACATCTTCAGTGGCCTCTGATCATTGTCTTCTCCCGTGTTCTAAGACCTTCTTGAATTTTTTAGGCATTTTCGAACAGAGCTACGAATTTTTGATCTTATCTAAGCACACCTCAGCAAAAATGCCGACCGCTTTGGAGATTCGTCCACATTTCTTGAGTACCCTCTAAGTGCTATTTTTCCTCGTTGCGAAACATTTCTGAACAGAGTTAGGGATTTTCTATCTTAACTCCGCGCACTGCTGTGCAAATTCCGCACACTTTGAAGATTTGACGAAATATTTGCATCTTCTAGCAACTTTTTTCCTACGTTGAAGAACATTTTTGGACAAGGTATGAATTTTTCAACCTTGCTCACTTTGAAAATTTGATCACAATTCTCCGGTGGCCTCTGATGACCTTTTTCGGAGTGCTATGACGCTTTTGAACAGAGTTATATGAAGTTTCGAAAAGTATCTTCTATTTGAGTGCATGCCCCGCCCATCACAGGCGGAGCATCGTTATGGCTACGCAGCGTAACACGTGCTAGGCCTTATACTTTCCAATTATTGTTTCATTCCACGTCTTCGCTTAGTCGAGTTGTAAATCTATTTGAAAGTATCACTCATTTAGAGGAGGTTCTGCCCACCACAGTTGGGCCTCGTTCGTCTGGTTTGTGGGCCCAATCCTCATCTGTGTCCTTTTTTTCCCGTGTCTGGACTTTCTCGGAGCCGAAATATTAATTGGAAAATAAGTCCTGCAACACTAAACATGTTCTTATAGTAAAAACCAAAGCCCTTTCAAATGGTTTCGCGCCTGATTGCTGTAGTGATCCTGAAGAGTTTTTGAGATGGACATAAAGGGTTCGTGAAGAGGTTCATTATGAACTACGCCTGTCTGACCATGAACTACGCCGTCTGCTAAAACGAGCAGGATGCACGTGGCTGAGACTGTTATGCTTGCTTCAAACTCCGGACTAACTTCTGCACTTGCGTGTATGGAGAAATTTCGAGCATCGTCCTTCCCACGGCTCGTAGAATGACGCTAACTGCGTGCTCATCCTGCTTTCGTAGAGTCCAAGTCTCTGAGACGTACGTCAAAGCATGAAGAAAAGCAGTGTCGAATAGGGAAAAGCCAGGTTGTTCTTTGTCTTCTTCACAACTCGATATTCTTGAATGCACCCCACGCCGCGCGTTTCCTTCTGCTCAGCTCCGGAGCTAGGTCGTTCATCATGTTAACTTCCAGACATAGATAGTAGGTAGAGCATTCATAGATATTCGTTTCGTTTGCGCGAAAAAAAGCATCAGATGCCGATCCGTTTCGCATAAACATCGTCTTCGTTAGGTTCATTCGTAATCCGATCTTTCCTCGAGCGTTGTCGAATTCGGCCAGCATTTGTTCAGCCTGCTCGATAATCGAAAGAATTTGTAAAATTCAGTTCACCGCAGAATAGATTATGTCTGTTTCAAACAACTTCAAAGGCACATTTCACGTTAAGACTGCAGCTGAGTTTTTCCCCTTGAATGAACCTGAAAACCACAAAGGTCCCATCGTTTGCACCGGGACGCACAGCTTGCACACAGGCAGCTCAATGCAGCCAGCTGCATGTAATGGCGCGCATTTGAACATCTAGTCCAAATACACTTTCCATGCAACTTCTAGCATCACATTCTCGTCCAACTCATAATTTTACTTCTTTTCTGATGCATTATATTTATGTCACCACTTTGCCACTATTCTGCACTATCATTTCCATCAGTTGTCGAAACTCGATATCTCGAAACTGCTGTGGACTGTGCCTTGAGTTGACTGCTTATTCAAATACCGAAAATGAAAGAGCAGATCTACAAATTGGTAGCATAAAGGAAGTCAATAAAAATTGGTAGATACCGAGCGTACTAGAGTTATAGATGATAGAAATCCTTATGTCGTGGAAGCGCGATGCGAACCCTTGAGCTGCAGTGGCAACAAAACCTCCCCTGTTGAGCCTGGAAAGAGTACCATTTACTCGCAAGTTATTATTTTCAATTCGTCGCGAATTGAGCTGAGTGAGCCTCTTGGATTGTGGATTGGATTTGGGTCGCAGCAAATTCTACCAAACGTGGTATCAAGAAGCCATGAAACGTTCTTGAGGTACTGAGGGGAACGGAGGAAGGTTTTTTTCTAATCACATACGCGGTGAAGCCAGTTAATGGAAACAAAGTTGGGGCGTGTGATCCTCGAATGAGGGAAAGCTTTCAGTTTCTAGACTTCCTTTTTTTCTATCGTCTGATTCATTGCGAAAAATGTCCCCCAACTGAAAAAACTCGGTATTTCCCGTTCAATCGTGATCCTGTTGTCGACTTGAGGGAAGGCAACGCTCTTTTGAGCTACTGAGGGAGTAAAGGAGGGAGGCCGACTTCGCGAACCCAAAATGATGCTAAGGAATGTTTCTTAGCCAAGGAGCATGTTTTTTTAACCTAAACTCTAGAATGGCGGGCTTCGGGTGTGCATGTCGACTGGATGTTCAATTCTTACCCCACCCAGCTTTTTGCACAAGGTGACCATATCACACACCCCGGGGCTCCCTCCTTCGTAAAGGTTGAAGTTTAAGTAGAAACAATATTTTTGGCTAGAAACCAACTCTAAGCACAAGCACAGGTAAAGTAAAAGTCTGCTACCCCTCCCGCTCTGCACTCTAGCACTCAGTGTAGCGGAAGGCATTGAAGAGCATCTATCGTCGTGTGCGTTCGCGTCAGGTCTCTAGCATTGAAGCGATTAAAAGAACATGTGGGCTAACGATACCGAGTAATTATCAGAAAAAAAACGTGTCACAAAAGTATCATAAAAGACATATTCATGCTTATCAACTGGAACTGAAGAACAGAAAATCTCTCATGGTTGGGTGATTCATTTCATTTCGCCACAGAGCTGTCATTCCTCTTGTCATCAATATGAATTTTGGTTGCGCATACACAATGATTTTTTTTTGTTTAGACGCTTGGCTAATAAATTAAGCTTGGTTGATAGATCGGTCAATTTGAGCTCTTTGTTGGGAACACTTATTAAATTGCCTTGATAAAGCTGAGAACGAACTTTCGATGCTATTGGGTGAAAAATGGTAAGCAGGAGTTTTTGCTTTCTTCTGTAATCCTTCATATTCATACTCATACTATTAGGTTGAGTAAAAAGTTTTGATCGGCTTTTCAATATTCACTTTAGAAAGTCTTATTTCCATTGAAAGAGGATCTCAATTATTAATATAGTCTCCATCGTTGTCCTAAACATAAGTCTAACGAACCGGCAGTTTCTTGACTCCTGAAGCCTAGAAGGGTGGCGGCCACGATTCGAAAAAGCTGGAGATCTCATCTTTGAGCACCGGGCAGTCATCAAAATTTCTATCGCGGAGGTGATGTTTCAGAGCAAGAAACAAATGGTAATCAGACGGAGCGAGACCTCGCGAATAAGTAGAATGGGTTAGCACTGCCCATCTAAGTTCGGCAATTTACTGACAAAATCATTTCGCAACATGCGGTTGAGCGCTGTCGTGAAAAAGGCAAACATTTTCACGCTTCGGACGCTTTCTTCGAACAACGTCGACCAAACTCTGTAGCTGAAAAGCGTAAATCACGGCGGTCACGGTGGAGCCCTTAGTAAGTTATCCAATGTAGAGCATTCCCTGAGAATGTCCACCGACTACAGAGTAAAACCTTCCTCGGACATAGTTTACTTCTCTGTTAGTCTTGGAGGTGCTTCGTCATGAGGCACCCGTGGGCTGAGGTACGATTACCCTTCTGGATGCACCATAGATATTTGCGACAGCCGTCGGTGGATTATGCCCTTACAGTAATTCGTGATAGACGATAGCTCTCAGACAGCTTCGGACGCCAGTTTAAGGCTGAAGTCATTTTTGCGAAGCACTTCCAAGGGGATGCTTATATATCCTTTTAAAAATACAGGTTAGGGATCGGTCTACCATAACCCATTACGAAGTCCTTCCGAACGGTCCTACGAAAAAAGGAACGAAGGTCGATCAAAACTTTTTACTCAACCTAATACATACGAGAGGTCCAATTGTACAATACTTTTCATCTGAGGAAGGTTATACCGGAGAACGCACATCGACCGGCAACTAATTAGAAACATTTTTGATTATTGTACCGAGAACAGCTCTAGTGAATCAGTCAACAATATGGTGGGGTCATTGACCCTAAGCGAGGTCACACAACTGTTAGCCTTTCAGATGTTTTTTTCCTGTGCCTAATGGGAAGAAGAGCTCAGAGGGGCTCAGATAACTACCTCACATTAAGAAGCGAAGGTATAACCGAGTTGTCGCTGTGCTCTCACCTTAATGATCGTGTCAAGTTGCTAGCGCAGAGAAGATCAATGGAGCAGATTCGGGAGTTGTTGGAGCAGCACACGAATTTTGAAGACCTTTATTGCCGGTGAAAGATCAAGAAGTTGAATGGCAATTTACTGGAGAGCTTCGAATAGTACATCTTGCTTTCACAACCCACATCTATCAGTGTCGAGGCCCAAAGAGCAGTTGGTTTTGAAATGAGGGAAACGTTTATGACATCAAAAATGACGTCAAGGAATTCCCATTTTATTATTCCATTGAGCTCATTCCAACACCAACAAAACAGTTTGAGGCACTCCGGCGATAGTAGACTGGAAACACGTGCAATCTGTCTTACCTAAGCCAGCTACCTTCTCTAGACGATCGGGGGATCGCAATTTTCTAATTTAGCCATACCTTGAACGTGATTGCAAAAAATGTCACTAAAGTAGATAACGCAGCACAGCTCTGCAGATCTACCTATGTCAGGTTTGTTTTCTATTACTCACAGTAATAAACGGTTACATCATTTTCACATCGGCTCATGTTCGAATCAGAAGCCACTTTGCAGTCAACCATGCACCGATTGGAATTGGAAGGGCCACGGTCGTGGCATCGTACCAGCAGTGCCACGGGAATGCCCTCCGATTTCGGCACGGGACATGTAGTTTTAGCTGGCTTCGGTTCAAAAAGCCATTCTCGCTTTGGAAGCAGCCTTGTAGCTGCATTTTCTAAAGTAGCGCACAAATTATGCCGTGCTCCAATGCTAGAAACGTGAAGCGAAGGATGGATGCTCTTCGAAGCCTTCCGCATTCGTCTACCCTCCCCCCCTCCCTCCACCAACTAAATCTTCTCCCAGAATTGTTATTTGAGAAGCTATCGCAAGATCTGCGAGGGTAGCAAAAGCTTCTGAACGGGGAAGCGGGAGATCTCACTTAGTAACCTAACTTACTTATACGGCTCGTCTTCACTCATGTGCGAGCACCAGCAACAAACCATTCGCTTCTGTCTTTCGCGATCGCCATTCACGGTAGACTCAGAATTCATCGAAGGTGATGATTTGAAGGGTCGTTTAGCTGCTGTCGGAGCTGTTTCACGTGATCGACCAGCATTCCCCCCCCCCCCCNTTCCCCCCCCCCCCATCTCGCAGCAGGCCTACCGTGAATGTCCTACGGAAGATCACTCAACTGTCCTTCTTGTCCATCTGTCATCATCTCTTATCATTATATACCGGCCCACCGAAATTTTGCATTCTTCACATGTTCCACCGGGTCGCGGAGTCGAGACATTCTGCGCACATCTTAGCTGCAGAGTTCAGCTCAATATTGAGTGAACCGATTAAAACTCAAAACATCGCTCGAGCGCTGTGTGATTTGTGCTCAGAGCCCTTTACGTGGATACACTAGTAACCTTAGTCTCCGACCGGTAACAGAGCGCAGGAAGAACGGTGGAAACGAACAGATAAGCACAAAGTTCCGCGTCGGCCAGACGGTCAGTGACTTCTTTCAGAGGTCCGCAGGCTGCCCACGCTTCTTTCTGCCTTTCACCAGTTCTTTTCCTCATGTCGTTGTTCATATTCGTGGAACGCCCGAAGTGCACGTAGGACGAGGTCTCCTTGATAGGTGTACCATCGATCTTGATTTGACCTTCGTCAGCCCAAGCATTCTTCATGAACTGTGTCTTTGTTTGGTTGACCCGCAGCCCTCCCTTCTTTCCTGCTTTACTGAGCTCAGCAAGCGTAGTCTCAGCTTCCACAGTGCTGCTTAAAAAGAGAACGATGTCGTCCACAAAGCGGTGATTTGAGAGGAACCGTCCATCCACACCAATGCCCTTTTCTTCCCAGTCTAGCGACTTCATAACCCACTGTAGTGCGGCGTGCGGCTGCGAACAGCTTCGGCGAAATAGTGTTGCCTTGTCTCATACCCTTCCCTATGGAATTGGGGAGAGGTCGTCGGAACAGCTTCACCGTCGCGCTGCAGCGACTGCTGTAGTCAGCTAGTGTTCTTAAGTAGGGAGAGTCCACTCTTGATCGACTAGTGCTGACAGGACCGCATTCGTTTCGACGCTGTCAAGAGCTTTTTCATAGTTAACAAAGGTAAGGACAAGAGGCATTCGCAATTTTCGGCACACTTGACACTGCGACCGTTTGGATGTGGTCTCAGCAGCTGAATCCCTTTCGGAATCCGGCCTGCTCCACAGGTTGAGCTTCATCCAACGTTCGCGATATGCTGGTTTTAATGATATTCGTAAACAGGTTGTAAAGCACGCTTAGCAAACTTATTAGACGGTAGTTTCGAAGATCACCCTGGTCTCCCTCCTTGAGTGGCAATCCGCGAGTTCACAACTGGTTGGGGAATTTTTCCTCATGCAGGCAGGAGAAGCGCATGAAGTTCGTAGCCACCTGCACTGAATAGGTTGGCTGAGATCTTGTCGGGACCTGGAGTTTCCTTTTCATGCTCGCAATCGCAACTCTCTTCTTCGGGGGAAGGATCAGAGTTTGGGGAATTTTGGTTTTCGCACGAGTGTCGTGGATCGGTACAGGTTGGTACAAAACCTCCGTGTAACTTCCTCCATCTCAGATCGCGATGCTGAAATTGTTCCGTCCTCCTTCTTCAAACACGAATGTGGAATACTGTGGTCCGACTAAAATCTTAGGGCCAAAACAGGCAACCCAAAAGGAGAAGGACTAAGAGGATGAATTGTAGTTTCAACGCACGGACGCTAGCATCAGAAGCGTGCATAGAAGACCTGACGATGCCAGCTAGGAAGACCAAGTGCGACGTCATCGGACTGACCGAGACGAGCAGGCATCGCCCGCTACACGCTGTATTTGAGACTTTAGAAGAACTGTTCCCTGGAACATGCGACAGCAGAGGCGTCGGTGGCGTAGGTGTCCTCGTCAATGTGCACTTGGCCATGAACATCGATTCGTTTGAAAGCCTAACAACCTGAATCGGACGTTTGCGATTAAGGAGGTGTGGCTCAACCCCAGCTCTTACCGTCTTCGTTGCTTACGCACTAACATCGAGCTACGAAGAATAGGGGTTGGAAGCGTTTTATATGGATCTGGAGAGGCTCTACAGAGAAGATCACACTTTCTTCGAGGTCATCTTCGGTGATTTTAACGCCAAGATTGGCCCAAAAAAACGGCTAAAGAGGTTCACATCGGGGCTCACGGAGTGGAACGGAATGAGCAGGGTTGAAGGCTCTAAATTTATCATGTCGACCCACACCATCCATGGTAACTCGCAGTTCCAGTAACCCTCTCATTTGCGATGGGCATGGGAGTCAACTGGTAGACAGCCCCCTGATAAATTAGATCACATCATCTTCAATCGGAGATTTTGCCTGACTGACGTCGCTGCTGTTCCGAAGTTCTACATGGGATCTGGCCATCGTCTCCTCCGCGCTACATTCTGCTTCTCAGTGCGTGGGGAGAGAGCTATGAAGATCAGGAAACGAAGCCCCAAGACCTCCATCGACTGGGGCCACTTCGATTTCCTTGCGAGTGAATGGGAAGATTTCGGTATCGACAACATCGATGAAGAGTCTACAAGTAGCCAAGAGACGACTCTCTTTGAAGACTTTCTAGCTGATACGCCAGCGTGGAATCCCGCGACTACAGGAAATCATTAACAAAAGTCCGAACTTGCAAAGCTATGCAGAGAGCGATAAAGGAAAATCTGAAAGAGAGAAGAGCAGCATTTATGGACGAAGCCGCCGAGGTCGGAAAGAGCATTCATGAAGCCCGACGGAGCTTCGCCAATTACAAAACCAAGATGACTTCCCTTTGTCGTCCTGACGGGACAGTTACTGCATCTCGAAGGGCAATGGAGAAGGTCATCCAAGACTTCTACTCTGTTTCCGTCCACAGCCACGTCAACCTGTCTACCCACCATATTAGGCAAGACGGATATATAGCTCCTTCGGTTCTCCCTTCCTGAATACGACATACCATCACGTCGATGAAGAACAGTACGGCGCCCGGTCCCGATAGGATCAAACCAGAAACCTGAAGAGTCTTCCACCGGCTATCGTCAGAACTCTGGCTGGGCTCTTCACGCGGTACCTGTCGGAATGCGTAGTGTCCACGTCGTGGAAAACTAGCAATACTGTACTGCTGTATAGAAAGTGAGATCCAGACGATATTGGCAATTATCGCCCAATCTGCCTGCTGTCTGTAATCTATAAGTTTTTCACCCGCATTATTCTAGAGAGGATTGGCAGAATATTAATGAAGGACAACGATATGAGCAAGCAGAATTCCGGAGAGGGCTCAGCACAATCGATCATATCCACGCTCTTACAAGACCCAATGAAGTATCGCAAGAGTACAAAATGCTATGTTTTACTTTCATCGATTTGAAGAAAGCCTTTGACACCGTTGAGACAGAAGCAGTAATTGAAGCTCTGGGCAACCAGGGTGTTCCTACTCAATATATAAGGATGCTTCGTGAACTCTACGACAACTTCACGACCAGAACTTCACCATTCTACAAGGAAGTCATTATCACCGTGAAGAGAGGTGTTCGGCAAGGCGATACTATTTCGCCCAAACATTGCAGTGCCGCTCTCGGGAAAATCGTGCGTCATTTAAAACGGGAAAACTTGGGAGTGAAGGTCGACGGTCGCTACCAACATCACCTCCGCTTTGCAGATGACATCGTGCTCATAACACCGAACATCGAGCAGGAGGAACGAAAGCTGGCCGAGTTTCACAGTGCTTTGTGAAGAGCGGCTTGAGACGTAACTTAACGAAGACGATGTTCATGAAAAACGGATTGGTACTTGATGCTGCTTTCACTTTAAACGGAAAGAATATCTCTGAATGCTCAAGCTACTATCTAAGTTGGGAAGTCAACGTGATGAACGACCTAGCCCCGGAGATGCGCAGAAGAAAACGCGCTGGGGAGCATTTAGGAATGTCGAGGGAGTAGTGAAGAAGGCAAAAAACATCTGGCTCCTCTCTCACCTTTTCGACACTGCTGTCCCTCCTGCTTTGACGTACGCCTCGGAGACCTGGACTCTACGAAAGCGGGATGAGCATGCTCAGCGTTACTCAACGCCCTTTGGAAAGGAATATGCTCGGAGTTTCCCTATACACGCAAGTGCAGAAAGGAATCCGTTCCGAGCTCCACCAACGAACGAAGACCAGGGATGCCGTTGTTCACGCCATGAAATCGAAGATCAGGTGTGCCGGACACGTTATGCGATATTGATGACCGTTGGACAAGGGCGGTTTCTGACTGAGTTCATCGGGACGTGAAACTCCAGGACGGCCGCCAACGAGATGGTCATACTTCTTCACGAAAGCTCTGAACGGAAAGAATGTTGATCATTGTGTCCCTGAGGCAGTGACGACTCATTGCACCACTCTAGCTCGTGACAGGGACGAATGGAGACGGTACTGGCCCCCACTCGAGGAAATCGACGATCAACGGAAAATATGATGAAATACAAAAAACTATAAAGAAACAGATATATTATTGTTACGTTCAAATTCGGACAAGCCTACAAGCCCAAACGCCACCCTCCCACTACGTTGAGGTGGTGGACCGCTGGGGGAAGGGGGGAGGGCACTTAGCAACCTAGCAACCTTTATGGGCTAATATCAAGAATATGGACAGTCATCTGATTTGCTGCCGTGAGCCCAGAGAACTGCAAAGGAGATGTCGATATATAAATATATGAGATTGGTCATCTAATTACGCTTTCTTGAGCCCAAAAGCGATTGTTGATTAGTAAACTAGCGGTATTGGTAGATAAGGGTGATCACTTCTCGAAATACATCTTCTTAATGAAGTTGTTTGAATTTTCTGGTGTACGACTAGGGCAAAAAGACACGTAAAATGTTCGCAATTCACGAAACTAGGAAGTTTTCTGTGTATATACGAAATTGACTGCAACGTTCCTGCATTGGGGTTGGAATTTCTGTATAACAGTTCTCTCTGAAATCTCTCAATGCCCATCCGGCTGTTTGTTACCCAATTCCTGCGAATTGAAGGTCGTTCCTCCTTCGCAATCTCCTGTCCATCTTTCAGACTCCACGATGCCTCTGCCGTCAATTTCTAAGATGTTCTTCATTGGAAAGGGCACTAAACGAAGTGGCGTGGCCATAGCAGGTGTCGAACCATTCAAAGACCCTGTCTTCGCTGACAACAGGGCAGTAATTTAAATTACAGTGGAGATAGACATGAAAAGGTGTTTTGGACAATAATAAGACAATGTTGTTGTTGTTGTTGTTTATGTATTGCACAACAATTTTCGAGGAATACAACACATTTATTTTATTACGTATAATATACGCAGCGTATCACAGCCGTCATACCAATTGAGCTCCACAAAAAAACCAGTATGATAACAAAGCGGAGATTCGGTGGTGAAAGCTGTATCGAGCGAAGAAGAAAGACCTCAAACGAAGAAATCCGGGAGCTGGTTTTGCAGATTCCTAATGACAAATCCAGTGGAAATGGAGCAACGCTGTGGAGATGATACCACAGTGTGCGAGGAAGACGCTGAGGGCGGCTCGAGGTAGCCTCAGATGAGACTAGGCAGCATGTTCCTGGAACAATGAAGTTAAGCGAATTGTAAAACGGAAAGGACGCACGCAGACGCTCGCTAAGGACCATGGGCGGTGATGCAGTAATAATCCTTTTCATTTCACGGTTCAGATGAGTCTGTAACCAAATGAACGACCACGGAGTGATGGAAGCCTTGGCAGGACTTATGGTCATGGGATTCGAGTCCATGACTATACGTGCGTGATAGTGCGCCACTTGCCACTACGCTACCTCCGCGTGGAGGAAGGAGTAAGACGAAGTAATCGACGTCAGGGGAAACGTGAAATATGGGAATTGGAATTAGCAGGATAAATGACTTAAAACCAAAACCATTGATTATGTTACTGAGTTTGTTTCTGTCTTGAACTCTTCACGAGGTTTTTAAATGACATTTATCAGGCTGACGTTTCGGCAGAATCGCCTTCTTCAGAGCCTGAAAGGATCA